ATGAGCCCCCTTCTTCTAGCTGCTAATCAGCTGTGTGTGAGCTTTTGAACTAAAAGCTGTACCCAGAACAATCTATATGATGGTTATTCAAGGACTAGTTTTTCTTGGTGCTCATTTTTAATGTAGATACACTTCTGACCTGCACAACCCACTGTTGGAAGGAGTGGTACAATTTATCTACGCATCATGTGAAAAATACATATTCTGTTTTCTTCTATTCTTGAATTCAGCTGTGTGTGAGCTTTTGAACTAAAAGCTGTACCCAGAACAATCTATATGATGGTTATTCAAGGACTAGTTTTTCTTGGTGCTCATTTTTAATGTAGATACACTTCTGACCTGCACAACCCACTGTTGGAAGGAGTGGTACAATTTATCTACGCATCATGTGAAAAATACATATTCTGTTTTCTTCTATTCTTGAATTCTCTGGCATGTTGCTGGAATCTACTTGACATTTAAATTCATTCATTCAAGTTATCTTTTAACTGCAATGAAAGCCGCAGACTGGGTGAAAGAAATTAATTTAAATAATCAAGGAGGCCTCTATTGACAATATGCAGAGCAGTATGCAACTGAGGGACATTCACTCTGTACCAGTGGATATTGTACTTGAAAGTGTGATTCTATCATTAAACTTTGTATGCTATTCACTGGCTTGCTGGAAAGAACTTCCAGTCCAACTTGGGTTAATGGCATTTTGCCATTAATTTCACTGGAGTCAGATATTCATTTTGGGCATTATACCCATGTTTCTTCCCTTGCTCACGTGGGTATAAGCCCACGTGGCTGTTAGGACAGCAGAGCCAATGCAGTTAGGAGCATGTGACTAGGATGCAGCCTTGCTGGTTGAACTAGAATTCATCCAAGTGCCTGGGCAAGCTCTGCCCTCCCCCACCTTATGTCATAACCCCTCTGTAAGCCATAGGTAAGAGAGCCCAGGAACAGACCCACCCTGCAGGCTAATGTTTTAGCCAAACTGCCATCTTTGCTTGTAGAACTTCCCTAGATTTCCCTGGAAACTATTCACTGTGCATCCACAACAAGGTGAGTTCATTAGCCCTTCCAGAGCTAGATGTATCAGCCCTAGATTTTGGCTGATACTCAAGCTAGCTGCCCTATAACTAGGCTGCAGTTTTATCTGCAAACATACTGCAACTGTCTACCAGTCTACAGCTCGCTGCAGCTGACTACAGCCTGCTACAACAACCTTGATGGCCTGGAAGTGTTATCTGATAAGGGTGTTTGAAGCTCTAAGATATGTGTGTAAAATCCCACATATGAAGGGCTCAATATTCAAAACAGAGTGCCTTTATTCACTGCTTTCTGTCACTGTAAAACAGTAGACAATGGTAGGAATTTCAATTAAAAGGATAAGATCTCCCTCCTCTAAGCAACAGGATGTTTTCAGATTTACAGGCTAATAGAAACTACCTCAATACTTCCTGAACTAACAGTTTTAAAGTTTGCAGTCTAGCAAACACCTGGATGCTGCACCCATTAAATGGGAAAAACAATGATATCCAACCAAAAAAAAAAAATGGAGACAAGAGCTGATTTTATCTTGTGGATAGTTTTAATTTTTTGAAGTCTGAGCTATTTGACTCCTTCATATGGAATGAGTAATTTTTCAAAATAAACACAGTATAGCACTGCTGTGCTATATTGCTAACAGTCCCTATTACATGTCATTGTGCAGTCCAGATATTTGCTGAAGTACTAGTTTTTTATTCCAGTCTTCTTAACTTGTCTGTTTTATTTAATTTGTTGCATATCATTACATATAAAGCAAATGTAGAGTGACATCTGAAGAATGAATGTATACATAAATCATTATTATGGACTTACCAACAACTGTAAGGTTGACTTGTGCTTGTTTGCTGCCAAGTTTGTTCTCTACAACTAGGGTGTAACATCCACAGTGTTCTTGCTTTGTTGATGATATTGTTAGCTTGCTGCTGTTTTCACCATTCTCAATCTTAATATATTCACTTTCTTGAATCTGCCAAATAAAATAAAAAAAATTATGTGAGAAATTTTTTCACATCTGAAAGAGCTCAAAGCACAATACAATGTTATCATACTGAGAGAATCTACAGATAACTCTGTTACAGAAAGGAATATGTGCAACTGGCAAACCATGTGATCAGTGCAAAACATCTATAAATGCTGTGGAACATTTTAATGGCTCCAGTCCTGCAAGGGCAACAGGGAGCACCGGTGTTGCTGGGACCCCACTAAGGAACAGGACTTTCAACTTCTAACTTCCCTTTGACAGGCTCAAGGTGCAAATTGTACAATTGGCAAAAACCCCAAAGTTTGGTCTCACATATCTCACAGAAAGCACAGTGGAACAAGGGCTTATCTCTAAACACCCTGGTTCATTTGCCATTCCCCTTTAGAGGCCCAATGTGCAAATCATCCATAGCTGTGACTTTTGCCCTCTTGTCTTAATCAGCCTTAATCTGTACTGCCACATGAACCAGGGTTAACATTTTTTTGGGTTTGAACAATTGAGGATGATGTTGCCTGAAATGGAGATGTAATGCTGTGCAGAATGATGTTCAAAGAGCAGACTGAGCTTTCCTGTAGCATTTCTACTTTTTGGAGAAGCAAAAATCAAAATTTCTGCTGAATACCATAGGCATACTCTGAACTAATTTTTAACTGAAACAAAGCTATCATAGCATAAATGGCCAAGGTGACTTAGATTGTAATCATTATTAGCTTGAGACATGACAGATTGCTTAAAAACCTCATCATGCTACATGGCAATTATAGGAGCTGTACACTGTGTTCTTATGAAACAGACAACATAATGTCAATGCCCTTCTTCCTCCCACAACTTCCTTCTTAGATAAGTGACTCTTCCAAGTCATTCTTAGAATTTCATTAAAAATGAAGGCTATTTAGTTTGCCTTATCTTGTCTCATATATTCAGAGAATAAGAAATTAAAAGGTTAAGAGCAGGACTTTGCCTGCTCTTTCCTCAGCTGAGATAGAACACATGCCTTGCTATATGCCCAAAAGTAACCTGAGCGAGATTCTCCTACAATAACTCAAATAGAAAGTTAGCAAATGGGATTATGTAGGATTACAGTTTAAACTATACTGAAGGTTGTCTTTCCCTGCCCCTATACCTCTGAGATTCTAAACTGCCTTATATGTTTTGCTTCATTAGAATCAGACAAGAGGTAATAGTAGAACTAGAGCTGCATAATTCAGAGAAAACCCTGAAAGGATGCAGAGTGAAAGACCCTGAGAGGATGCTCTGTGGCTTGCAATAGTTGTGGGGAACATGAGGTTGGATCCCTGTGTTCCTACAAGAAAGTCACTGGTCATACTTAAGAAGCTCCAACAACTGGCAATGTTATATGATGGACTTTGTTCCTCAGCTAATGAAGAGGCTTTCAAAGCCTTTCCCCTCTTTAGCTGCACACAGCTCCAGCATCCCTCCACTACACTGCCATCACATACAGCAGTGTGGGTCACAAATT